CAACTGCAAGATACAATATAATCAGTTGTAATTTTCCATTGTATAGACCAGTGTTTCTCAACCTTGGCCACTTGAAGATGTCTGGACTCCACCACCCAGAAATCCCCAGCCAGCATACGCTGACTGGGTAATTCTGGGAGTTGAAGTCCAGACATCTTCAAGTTGACAAGGTTGAGAAACACTGGTATAGACTACCATATAGCTTATGAATGATATATTTTATAGTTTATATAAGCTTTATCCTTTGTTCAAATTACTTAGAGTTAGTATTTTAACATAGCCACACTACTACATATCCAAGGTACAGCCATGTTTAAATTTGCTTTTCAATTGTATTGCTGATAATTTCCCATAAGCCTTAATTTTCAAGAAAACGTCTCTATTTCTGAGACCTGGATGGGCAGGAGAACATTGTAGCATGTTTAGCTGTTCCCAAGCCCCCAACCTTGTGAAAGGCTGATAATGTATCTTACCCAACCCATTTTGATGTTTTCCCTTTTCAATGCTCTTTTCTATGGCTGTGCTGTAATTCTCGCAAAACAAGAGAACTGATTAGGGAATATCAAAGAGGTGAGAAATGGCTGCGGGGGAGGGGGAATGAGTGCTTACCAATTTTGGGTGATAATATGGACTTCACAAACTTTAAACAATTAGATGTGATAGCAGATTTTAGGTGGTTGGAAAACATGTGATCAGACTAGACCTATTGACTGGACCTGGGATGGATAGACAAGCAACTGGTGATACAAATGTATAAAATATGCTGAGATCTATAACCGGTGTGGTTTCTCTTGCTTTATGCTTGGAAATCCACCAGCCTTTGCAAATGCTTCAATAAAATTGTTTTGTATTCCAATAACTTCGGAGAACCCACACACTATTTTCACTATATTTCTTCTCATCTCTGAAGCCTGCCTGTTTTGTACAATGGATGTGCAAAGATGTCTGTACCTACCTGCACATGTGAACAAGACTGAGTCAGTTCTCTTGTAAGTGTCCGTTCCATGTATGGGTAGGTCCGGTATTCTTTCACAGATCCGTTTTCAATATAGTGCATGACATGAATGAAAAGGGCAGATTGAATGATTTGCTACTAGTTCTTGTATTCCGCCTACAACTAATACATATTGGAGATCAGGCACACAGCAGGAGAGAAATTATTAGCTGTTAGAGGTCTGTTGTAAACAGCTTTCTGAAAAGTCTCTAGCCAAGGAAGTGATTGAAACACAAGGAAACAACAACTAAAGACTTAATAGCCGGCCATCAACATTACAATCAAAAAGCCACACACTACCAGGCACCAGAATAGCCCAAAGCACACACTCTGCTAGAGAGAAGTTCCCTGAGGATGGGCTCCAGCACAAGTCCAAAAGCTCAGAAGACTAAACCTCTGGTTTAGACATATTTCAAGATAGCGGGATATACTTCAAGATGGCGGCAAAGGAGGAAATATAGTAACATCGCAGGGAATTAAAAGAAAAGTTGCTATTAAAATAAGATAAATGATAGGAGGAGAGGTGGAGAGGGAAAGACATGTTATAGAATAAATCACACACACACACACACACACACACAGAGAGAGAGAGACAGAGAGAGAGAGAGAGAGAGAGAGAGAAATAAGTGGAGAAAGGAAAAGGAGAGGAAAGACTGGAGAAATAGGAGGAAAATGATCCACAGCGAAGTGCATCCAGTTTTGATCACCACACTAAAAAAATATGTTGAGACTCTAGAAAAAGTGCAGAGGAGAGCAACCAGGATGATTGGGGATGGAAACTAAAACATATGAAGAACAGTTACAGAAATTGGGCTTAGCTAGTATAGTGAAGCGAAGGACCAGTAGAGACATGATAGCAGTATTCCAATATTTGAGGGGCTGACATAGAGGAAGGGGTAAAGCTATTTTCCAAAGCACCTGAAGGCCAGACAAGGAATAATGGATGGAAACTGATCAAGGAGGGATTCAACCTAGAAATAAGGGGGAACTTTCTGACAGTGAGAACAATCAGCCAATGGAACAGCTTGCCTTTGGAAGTTAGACCTATAAGGTCCCTTCCAACTCTGTTAATCTGTTCATCTGGTCCCAGTGACCAATCCAGATTGGATCCTGCAATATTATCCTGGGGCATGTATATTTGCCTTCATTCATCTACCTTTGTCATTTTAAAAGGGGAATTTGAACTGGAAATAAAACCAGTTAATTCAATTTACAATTCTGAAAGAAGATTGTAGGTTTATATAGCAAAGTTTGTTCCAATAGAAATAAGACACTCCACTTCATGAAGGACTGAGCAGCAACTAATCTTCCTCAATTCATAACCACATTTTAAAGGATGTGACCTCTGGGAATGCATTCCACATTGGCAGACGCTAGTTAGGTTGGCTTCCCTGCATAGAGCTGTTCAAGCACATGCTTTTCCATCAAGGAACTGCTACATTTGAAATGTACTAAAAGAACCTATCAAACCCTACCCAGTCCTAGACTGGATTGGTAAAAATCTAAACACTTGATTCTAGCTTTCTCTTTCTCTCTGAGAAAGGAAAAGAGACACCTCATTTTGTCCTATACACTTCTAATCTAGATGCCCCCTTCAGATCAAAGGGGCAGAACAAGAAATCTACTTGAGATTAACCCACTAGATGCGGGATGTCAAACTGTCAGCCCATAGGTCCGATGTGTCACACTCAGACCACGCCAATCGCGGCTCCGTGAAGGCAAAAAAGTCACAATACATCACAATATGTCACATGACACAATCAAGTTTGACCCCCGTACACTAGAGCGTTGCACACTTTTTTAAAAGTCAGCTTTAAATTTGTCTGGAATTCAACTCAGTTTATTTTATTTATTTTCTCCTCAATCCTTATTTCACAATCTTGGGAATTATTTTTTTATTGGTGTAATATTGTACATTATAGATGTTGTTAAAAGGTAGTGAATGTGGGGGTACACTGTCCATTTTTCATCATGTATATTAGAAAACAGAGTGGAGCTATAGGTAGGACAGCAATGGTGGTAAAGATGGGAATTTAAACTGTCCTTTCTTGGTATAATAGATAAGACACAAAAATCAGGTGTTCCGAATATCAAATGAGCTTTAGGCAATG